TGTGTGTGTGTGTGTGTGTGTGTGTGTGTGTGTGTGTGTGTGTGTGTATGTATATTTTAACTGTAGTTTGTGGCTTAGTCTTATGATATGTATCCAGTTCAATTGTGTTTTAAGAAGCAAAATTACCTAAAGCTTAGCTTAATAGAGTTAATTAATTAAGATTTTATAGAACATTTACTCCATTAAGAATCCCCAAATCCTCTTCCAAGGTTGAAATCCTTCCCATTTTAAGAACGTTTCAGTGTGGCCAGTACTTAAGAAGGGGCAGACCTGTGGCTTAAAGTGATAAGTGAACTGATTCAGTATTATTACATTGTTGAAATCTACCTTGGAAATCTTTATGATATGTTATGTGCTGTTTGGAATTTGCTGCAGAATAAGAAAATAATGTACATGCCAAAGCAAGTTTTAATTCATTCATATACCCAAATTGCTCCTGTTTTTTTCTTATAGGATCCTATGGCATTGCTGCTGACTTACCTGCAGTTGGAGGGAACGAAGGAGTTGGGCAAGTGATGGACACAGGAAATTCTGTGACGACTTTGAAACCTGGAGACTGGGTGATCCCAGCTGATGGAGGACTTGGTGAATTTTTGGGGGGGAGAGGAATTGAAGCAAAACACTTGTTTTCCTTTTGTCCAGTTCCTTTGCTGAGCTTTAAATGTTTGACAACAAATCGCAGTGGATAGATTGCCACAAAGAAGCCAAGTCAAAACTGAGGAAACCATTTTGTAGCGTAGCCCAATGTGTGGAACATGACGGCTGTTTGCAAACCACAGTTTATAACTTAATACATTGTCCAAACCCAATCTTTTCAATGGTTTTATCTGTTCAGTGTTTCTTGATAACACTTTAGGCCTCTTCTGTGAGCTGAGAACTTCCAGATTGTGATGAACTTGTTCCACATCTTGAATCATATCTCTCTTTTTAAAATAATCCTTTACAAAAGGAACTTGGCGAACAGAAGCGGTATTTGATGAGAAAACTCTGCTGAAAATCCCACCGGATATTCCATTGACTTGTGCTGCCACACTGAGTGTTAACCCCTGCACAGCTTATCGGATGTTGTCTGATTTTGAGACTTTGGAACCAGGTACGCATGTATGTATGTTTGTTGAATTTGTATGACTGCTCAACTTGAAAATTGTACACGAAAACATACAAAAACTCCACAAGATAAACAATCCCAATTAAAATCCAGTAAATGTTAATAGGCGATCAGTTCTCCACGTGATTATCAACCCCCAGTCATCCTTAGACCCACACCTGAAGAAAAAGCCAAATTTTCTAAAAGCCAATGGGGTCATAGCCAGAAGGATATAGGCAGTCCTCGCCTCCAAACAGTTCATTTAGTGACCATTTGAAGTTATAACATCACTGAAAACAGTGACTTATGACCGTATTTCATGCTCACGACCATTGTAGCATCCCCAAGGTCACGTGATTTACATTCTTGTCTCACATTTATGATGGTTGCAATATCCCGGACTCATGTGATCACCTTTTGTGACCTTCTGACAAGCAAAGTCAATGAGGAAACCAGATTCACTTAAGAACAGTGTTAGTAATTTAACAGCTGCAGGGGTTCACTTAGCAAGAAAAGTCGTAAAATAGGGCAAAACTCACTTAACATATTTCTCACTTAACAAAATAAATTTTGAGCTGAATTGTCATAAGTTGAGGATTGCCTGTATTGTAGCCAATGGCATCAGCGGCTGTTAAACCTTAAAGGACATATGTAGTACCACCATCTTGGGGGCCACCAAAGATCATGGCCAAATGTGACAAGGCTGTCTCAGTAATTATCCCAATCTGAATCTAATCCTAAATGAAAAGACACTAGATAATCTAGATTGATGTAGGCACTCTTTCTTCCACATCCTGACCTACATTATCTTCCAAAAATTTTTGCTGTAGGCTGACTAGAATTACTTCACCTTTACTGATGTCAAATGTTCATGAAGTTATGATTAGTTAGGCAAACGGGAAATTAAGAGCTGAGGTGTACATTTTTTAATTTCATTTAAAAAACTGAATTTCCTTGTCTTTTTCCAAGACCTATTTTTAAATTGGGAATAAAATGTGTCTGATGATATGGTGAGTTTCCACTGGCTGTGCTATTTTCTCCAACACACAATAATGTTCCACTTGAGGGGAGCAGGAAATAAATATTTTTGAAGCCCGAGATGACATGTCTGTTTGTCTGTAGGGGAGTCTGTCATCCAAAATGCAGCCAATAGTGGAGTGGGACAGGCTGTAATCCAGATTGCAGCAGCCAAGGGCATCAAAACAATAAATGTAATAAGAGATAGGTGAGTGTGCCTAACAAAACTGTTTTTCCCCTCTTTTTCCTATTGCTTTTGCCTAGTTAGATCCTTTCGGTTTATGCTAAAGTCTGCACAAACAGGACATTCTCTTAGACGCCGTTTATTATATGGAGATTGTATGAATCCTAGATGGCATTATATGACAGCATTATAGTTTGTAACCTATGGTAAGACCACACTTGAAATACTGTATCCAGTTTTGGGTCACCATGATATAAAAAAGATGTTGAGACTCTGGAAAGAGTGCAGAGAAGAGCAATTAATATGATTAAGGACTGGAAGCTATACAGGGGTAGGAAATCCCAGCAACCGGTTCGCTGCCCAGTTGCTGGGTAGGTGTGGCCATGCTGGGCATGGCCTACTGGAACTTCCTGTTTCCAGCTTTTGATGGACCTTCAGAGCCCAGAGGAAGCTGTTTTCACCTTCTGAAGAATCTGGAGGCTTCCCCGGGCCTCTGGGAGGGCAAAAACAGTCTCCCTCGGGCTCTGGAGGCCTTCTGGAAGTCGGAAACAGGCCCGTTTCGCGACTTCCAGAAGGCCCATTTTCTCCCCCTCCCAGAGCCTCCACACAGACCATGCATTTACTTCCATCGAAAATGGGCCATGTGGAGACTCTTGGAAGGGGTGGGTGGAGCCAGCTGGTCGGTTGAAATACTGGTTTGGCAAACCAGCTGTAACTTTAACATCTGGTTCACCCAAACCAGTAGAATCCCGCCCCTGAAGCTATATAAAGAATGGTTTCAGGAATGGTGTATGTCTAGTCTAGTGAAAAGAAGGACTAGGGGAGACATGATAGCAGTCTTCCAATATCTCAGGGGCTGCCACAAAGAAGAGGGTCAACTTGTTTTCCAAAACACAAGAAGGCAGGACAAGAAACAATGGATTGGAAACCAATCAAGGACAGAAGCAACCTAAAACTAAAGAGAAATTTTCTGACAGAATAATCAACCAGTAGAACAGTTTGCCATCAAAAGTTGTGGGCGCTCCATCACTGGAGGCCTTTAAGAAGAGACTGGACAGCAATTTGTCTGGAATAGCATAGGATCTCCTGCTTGAGCAGAGAGTTGGACTAGAAGACCTCCAAGGTCCCTTCCAGCTTCGATTATAATGATGATGAGCATTGGGCTTCACTAAGCACGTACAAAAGGTTTTCCAATTTATATCTGAGACAATACATGTTTAAATTTGAATACAGGACTTTAATATGAGAATACGTTTTGGATTTGATCTGAAAAGATGCTTTGGAGTATATATGAGGGCACAGATGACTGCAGTTCCTTAAAGCAGCTGAGTTTTTTTTTTTTTTCCCCTGGAATTGAACAGCAGTTGTGGGGAGCTTTATCTGAAAGCTTCAGGCTTGTACAGTTACTTGGAGCTATTTTTTATTCATAGCAATTGATAGATTTACTCTTTAACGCAAGCGTTCTGAATGAGAGCTAGGTCTGATCAGCAGTTGTCTTCACAGAAAAAGTCTCGTCTGTAGAACATGCGTATAGAAGTGATCTGGATCAGGGGTCTCCAACCTTGGCAACTTCAAGACCTGTGGATTTCAACTCCCAGATTTCCTCAGCCAGCTGAGAAATTCCGGGAGTTGAAGTCCACAAGTCTTAAAGTTGCCAAGGTTGAAGACCCCTAATCTGGATGATAAATTGCTGAAGGATAAGTAGTCTCCTGAACCACTTCAACAGTTGGCAAATGTTGTTACTTGTACATCCCCTGACTCCCCAGTAACTTATTCTAAGCTAGCTTCTTTAGTAACTTAAGTACAAAAAGATGAAGAAAGGTATTTTGTTGATCGCTGAAAATTGACTCCGCTTGTGGCAGAGTGAGAATATTGATAAAGTGCATTCCCACATCAATTTAATGTTTGCGTTCCCTTTTATGCCCCATCAAATCGTCAACCGCATCCTATTCTATTATTTTTTTGTTCCACAGACCAAATCTCCAGGATCTCGTAGACAGACTTAAGTCCCTTGGAGCAGACTATGTTATCACAGAGGAGACGCTAAGAAAACCAGAAATGAAAGAGTTGTTTAAGGTATGTATGACCACAAAAAGGCTGTGGCTGTGAGACAGCTAGAGGAAACAGGATTGCAGGACCCAAATTGTTGGGGGCAATAGGCTGATGCTTGTAAACTGCTTAGAGAAGGCTGTAAAGCAATATATAAGTCTAAGTGCTATTGTTATTGCTGCAATGAATTAGATTGTGTTAGTTACCTCATTCTCACAAACCCATTTTACTACAGTAATAAAGGAGAATATTTGTAGCTCAGGGTTGACATGAGGGATCCTTGCTGCTCTCTGAGCTTGATTTGCATATACAGGAAGTCCTCGACTTACAACAGTTCATTTAGTGACCATTCAAAGTTACAACGGCACTGAAAACACTGACTTACGACCAAGGATGGGATCCGACCAGTATAAGTACCGGTTCTGTCACTCTGCGTTGCGCTAGTGCAATTTACGACCTGCTGAGCAGCGCTGCGTGCAAGTGTGCAGCGGTTGGAAAAGCCCTTTTTTCCTGCTTTTTCAACCGGGCTCTTACCTGACTTTTATTTCCTGCTTTTTCAACCGCAGCTGTGTTGCGCAAAGCAGCTGTGGTTGAAAAAGAAGGAAATAAAGATCAGGTAAGAGCCCGGGCGGGAGCGTGGGCCAAAACAGCAGCAAACATAGAACCGGTTCTATGTATGTTCTCTGTCTGCTGCTCTTCAGAACTACCGGTTCTACAGAGGTGGACAGAACTGGTAGAATCCTACCCCTGCTTACGACCATTTTTCATACGAGGGTTGCAGCATCTCCATGGTCACGTGATCCAAATTCAGGCTCTTTGGCAATTGGCACGTACAGTCGTGCTCATAAGTTTATATACCCTGGCAGAAGTTATGATTTCTTGGCCATTTTTCAGAGAATATGAATGATAGCACAAAAACTTTTCTTTCACTCATGGTTAGTGGTTGGCTGAAGCCATTTATTAACAATCAACTGTGTTTACTCTTTTTAAATCATAATGACAACAGAAACTTCACTTCTGTTCTCTTCTGTTCTATTCTATTCTGTAAAGTCAAGGGGGAAAGCCAGGTTCACTTAACGACCACATGGTTCACTTAACTGCAGTGATTTTCTTAACAACTCTGGCAATAAAGGTTGTAACTGTGGTAAAATATTTTATTCTGTGGGTCCTTGTATAGCTTTGCATAGATCTAGGGACTAAAAAATGCCCCTGGTGGGGGGGGGCATTTCCGCCTGCTATGGGTGTTTTTGTCCTGTTAGGACCTGCGAAGCTTAGAGGACCAGATATGTCGGTGAAAGGTCATAGTATATAGCTGAGCCATTCCCATGGGTATAGCTGAGCCATTCCCATGGGAATTTCCGCAGATGTATATTCTCATCCTGTTTATTCTCATCCTATATATCCTGTGGAAATAACATCCTGTTGAGGTCACTTGTTTTCTGTATATGCATTTTGTTCTCAATAAAAGCTGGTACCTGGGTCTACTCAGGGCTGGCATTTGCTCAGACGTTTTCCCTGCGTCTCATTTCAAATGTCAGACCACCACATGTAACATCAGGCACAACTCACTTAGCCACTTCCTCACTTATCAACGAAAATTTTGGGCTGAATTGTGTTCCTAAATTAAGGGCTATCTATACCTAATCTTCACAATTTGAATCTTAGCATGATACATATGTGAACCCAGGCAGTCTGTAAAACCTCAAGGAAGCATAACAAGGTATAACACAGGCAGTGAGAAAGAGAGCATTTTGAATGGCTACTGAAGGCAGCTCCAAAATGTGCGATTCAGCCTTCTTTCCCATGAATAATGCATGGGTTTAATGCTTCACAACTCTGATGCTTTATCGTAAAAACTGCCAAGTTTGTATCAGAAAACGCAGGGAAATGCTTCTTGTTAAAAGCCAGCTTAGCCGTGTTTTGATCTATAACACTGAAAAAAAAAAATCTCTATAATCTCTAGATATTTTTATTACTGCAAAAGGTTGAAATGAAACCTCCAGATGGGTGTTTTAGGAGAACAATAGAAAAGAACTCATATGGGTGCTGTTTACTCACTGGTTATTTTTATAAACATTCTTTCTGTCCATTTTTTACCATTTTGACTTATAGATTTAATTTCAGAGGAAATACAGAAGGGATAGGCAATAGATATGGATAGCCTGTGCCATAAAATTTCAGGGCAAGTTTGCATACTAAAGTCCTCTTTAATGAGACAAACTGATTGGGATTAGGAGCAAGAACATAATTTACTCTTCTCTATCTTCCCCCTTGGGTTCAGCCTGCTCCCTGTTTTATGCTACTCTCGCAGAGAAATAATTTCCAGAACCCAGATAAAAAATGCTTAATACCTACAGATGGCACACCGTGATAGGGCCCTAATAAAATGCTTAATGGGCAAAATCAACAAAATCTTCCTCGTGCATGTTTTCGGTTGACTTCTGGTTTGCCTTGCGAGATATTAAGCCAAGTTAGGTTTTGGCATTTCACATACAGTTAGTCCTCAATTTATGACCACAATTGAGCACAGAATTGATGTTGCTAAGTAAGATAGTTAAGTTAATTTTATCCCATTTTATTACCTTTCTTGCTACAGTGTGTTAGTTAGTAACACAGTTGTTAAGTGTTTCCCATTGACTTTGCTTGTAAGAAGGTCACAAAAGGGGATCATATGATCCAGGGACACTGCAGTCGTCATAAATACGAGTCAATTGCCAAGCATCTGAATTTTTATGCTGAATATTGACATGGGGATGCTGCAGTGGTTGTAAGTGTGAAAAACAGTCCTAAGTTTTTCAGTGACATTGTAACTTTGAACAGTCACTAAATGAACTGCTGTAAGTCAAGGACTACCTGTATAATCTTTCTTAGTTCTGCTGTTTCCAAACAAAACCATGTTACAGTCAGATGTCTGCCTTCCCATTCTATGTTGAAAAGACGACTGTGAGACAGAAATCTAAGAACCACTTTGCAAAATCAAACATTTATTTCTATGAATGATTTGGAGGACTTAAAGCAAGAAGCAACTTGTTTTCTGTTTTGTTTTGTTTTTGTTTTGTTTTACAATTTTGTTCTCCAGGAAATTCCTAAGCCCTCATTAGCTCTGAATGGTGTTGGAGGGAAAAGTGCTACTGAGCTGATGCGTCACTTGCGGTAAATTTAGCTTCTGTTTGTTTGAATTATATCTGTAGTAATTGTTTCACTACAAGTAAATGCTTAATGGGTGGTGTGTCTTTAATTTTCATTTGGGTTGTGAGTTGCCTAAGAAAGAGTGTTTTTGAAGCATGACATATGCATGCCCTTAAATCTGCTAGTTTGGATTAGTGCAAGGATTTGCGGTTTAATGGGGAAAATTTGTTGTCTTCATGTCTGGAAGTTGACTAATTTGCAATTGTATTGAATACTGTCCAAAACGTTTGGCTTGTGTGACATTAAACAAAGAAATTAAGAGGTGCTTAAAAACTTCATGACAAACCTACTTGCCTAGCTAGCTAGCTGCCAAATGCCAGTCAGGGTTGAAGGATTTTGTGCTGCGTCCGAAAAATATTTATGATTATTATGATTATAAATATTTATGAAATTATTTATAATTTCAGTGAAATCCTGCTCCACAGCTCAGGAATAGCCAGGATATAACCTGGTATCATTTCCCTGTAGTAAGATGAATTTACTGTGTATTCGAGCCATGGTGGCACAGTGATTAGAATGCAGTACTGCGGGCAACTTTTGCAGACTGCCAGCTGCCAGAAGTTTGAGTCTCACCATCTCAAGGCTGTATTGCTTTCTTTTGAAGACTATTTCTGAATATGTTTTATCTCCATCTGAGAATTATTGAACAGTGGGGCCAAGTTGGAGGCATTAAAGGACATTTATTTACGTTTTGGATTTTGTTACGTTTGTGGTACACTCTGGATCATCACAGGTAGTTTGCCAACTTAATTGCCTTTATCTTAACCTTAATTGCCCTAAACCTAACTCTAACCTTAACCCAATTCTTCCATTAGGCATAGCGGGACCATGGTTACCTACGGTGGGATGTCAAAGCAGCCTGTGACAGTCCCTGTGGTGAGTAGCCCTCAGGTTTTCTGGCCAGCCTATTTATCCTGCACACATTCCCTTTCCTGAGATAACACAGGTAGTCCTCAACATATGACCTCCATTGAGCCCAACATTTCTGTTGCTGAGTGAAACAGTTGTTAAGTGAGTATTGCCCCATTTCACAATCTTTCTTGTCACTGTTGTTAAGTGAATCACTGCAGTTGTTAAGTTAGTAACACGGTTGTTAAGTGAATCTGGCTTACCTACTGACTTTGCTTGTCAGAAGGTCACAAAAAGTGACTCTGATCAGGAGTCTGCAACCGTCATCAATAGGAGTCAGTTGCAAAGGGTCTGAATTTTGATTGCATGACCATGGAGAGGCTGCAATGGTCGTAGGTGTGAAAAATAGTCATAAGTCACTTTTTTTCAGTGGCATAACTGAACGCTCACTAAATGAACTGTTGTAAACCAAAGATTACCTGGATACTCTTTCTATTTGTGCATTAGGTTTTCGAGTTCTTAGAGCAGTATCATTCTGATATCCCCATATGGTGATGCTAAATTTTCTCCCAATCCCAAAATTGTATTTCAGAATTTGTGAATTGTAATTTCCTCTGCAGAGTGCACTGATCTTTAAGGATGTCAATGTTCGTGGCTTTTGGATGACGCAGTGGAAGAGGGCCAATGCCCACAGTGAGTTGCGTGTGTGTTGTTTTTATATTAGAAACTGATGAAATCTGCCTTCAGTTCTAAATTTCTTGTCTCTCTAATTAGGTGGATTAAAATGCATACTAAATAACCTGCAGCCAATGAAAATACAACTCCATACATGAAAATTAAAAGATAGCTATGTGTCCTAGAAAAATAAGGCTATGGGAAAAGAGGACACTATGGTTCCTTAGCTTTGTGAAAAGGGTTATAGCAGAATATGGTCTCCTTGCATCCCCAGCCAAGAATGAAAGAAATATTGGTTGAGTTTAATCAAATGAGTTAGTCAGTTCTGTACACTGGATAAAATAAATGTCCTTGATGACACTTTGCTGGCCAAATTATCATGTTGGGTTAGAATTGGTTGAGCCTTTGCAGTCTGTGGATTATAAAAACACACTACGTACTTCCCATAATCTTGAAGTCTGTTTATTCCTTCCAGGGGTGAGATTCAAAAATCCCAGCAACCGTTCTCTGCCCGGTTGTTGGGTGGGCATGGCCATGGTGGCTGTGGCCTACCAGAACTTCCGGGAGGGCCAGTTTTTGACTTCCCAGAGTCTGGAGGCTTCCCTTGGGCTTCTGGGAGGACAAAAATGGCCTCCCCCGGGCTCTGGAGGGGCTCCGGAAGCTGGAAACAGACCCACTTCTGGATCTTCTGATTCGATCTGTTTTTCTCCCACCCACAGTCTCCACGCAGACCCTGCCCTTATCTGCATTCAAAATCGGCCGCGTGGAGACTCCTGGGAGGGGAGGGGCCAGCCAATTGTTCAACTACTGGTTCTGCAGACCAAATGTAAATTTAACATCCGGTTTGCTCGAACTGGCTGAATCCCTCCCCTGATTCCTTCCCTAACTAAAAGGGACAATGTCCAACCGTATCACGTAGTGAACTTTTTGATGTGGCTGATTTTTGTTTTCAGGCTGCCTGAGAGCAATTTATATATTTATTATCTATTTATTTATTTTATCCACCGTGTAGACTTGCCTAACTTGATTCTGGGCTTACAGTAGCTTTCAGTAAAAATGACCGATAAAAAACATCCCCTAAAATGATATAGTACTTTTGCTAGCTAAAAACTAGCAAAAAAGAAAAAGAAAAAGAAAAAACAAGACTCAATAATAAAAGAAAACCAAAGAAAACTTTTCTATCAGGGCCTGGAGGAAGAACTTGGATTAAAAAATGGCAGGCTTAGATCTGGTGAGAATACCATTCCAGAGAGCAGGCAGAGGAGATGTCAAACAGAATGTCAAGTACCAATGATTATTATTCGTTCTCTTGAGTTTAAACTCAGCAGTTCAGGAAGAAAGAAGAATTGATGGCTGCTTTCTGCTTTCTTTTCCATACACAGGCAAAGAGAAGCTGGAAACAATGATAGCAGAACTGTGCACTCTCATTCGAACGGGTCGACTTGTTGCTCCGGTCTGCCGAGAAGTCCCTTTGGTCGATTACCAAGCAGCTTTGAAGGTTTCCCAGGAACCATATGTATCCATTAAGCAGATCCTCCGGATGTGAAGATAGTCTTATGGGAAGAAAAAAAAACAGACAAGAATTTTCAGTGGATTTCAATCCCCGGGAAGCTTGAATGATTCAGAATTACAGAACCGGTTTATATCCTCATCCATCTTCTGGCTCACAGAGACAGGCGGAGGAATGAGCAGCAAACAGTGAAGGCTTAACATAGACCAGAGATCACTATCGAATATCAGTGATGGCATGGGAGTTAAAGCAACCCCTTGTAGACTTTCTCTTTTTATTTTTATTTTTATTATTAAACTTATCTGTTATCCATCAGGCCAGGGGGTGACTTTAGGTAACTTGATAGAAATCTGGAGGGAAAAAAAGAGATGTTTTAGCCCATGGAGGATCTGCTCTCAAGAGTCCTTATCCTGGAGATTCTCCCATCTATGCTGATATATGTGTGCACACAATGTGGTAAGAATTCCTCAAGAGTGGAATGAGATGGGGCAGAGGCTGGTCCCACTGGACTTAAAAGACTTTGTATAAATCTTACTTCAGATTCTGCAGGTTATAATGAATTAGGTAGTGTCGAGCGTCCCATTTGGCACACTCAACGAAAGAAACTCCCAGCTCTTTAGATTAACCAAGAGTCTAGCTTTATTGAAAAAAAAATCCATCTAGGCACAGCAGAAGCAAAGTCAGTTCTGGGATTTTCCCACGAAAACCCACACATAGGTAACTCCCCTTTTCCCCTCCAATTGAGTTCACCAATTGAGTCCAATTCTTTTGCTTTGGGAAAAGCTGTCAAAACATTCTTCATCACTTGGCCTTTTCAGATAACAGCTCTACAGCAACAGATGGTTCACTTCCATAAGCCGCCTTCTACCCTTAGGAATTCACCATCCAGCTCCTGTCACAGTTTGGCAAAGCTGTGAGCGAAAGCAGGTACAGGCAACTATGGGGTTGAGTCAGGTTTGACATGTAGGTTTTTAGTATTTTCCTCCTTTACACACATAGGATGATGTTGACAATCTTTGCAGCCAGATCCTTTTCTTTCCGGAGCAAAATGACTCTGACAAGTCAGTCATTGAGCAGGAAAATCATGGATGGCATTCAGCTTCACAATTAGTTCTGTGGCTTCTGAGGTAACTTCCCCCAACTTCATATTCAGTTTTCATAATTCCCGTCTCACACAACTGATAGTCATGCTGGCTGGGAGTTATATGACCTAGTCTGAAATATTTGGGTTGGAGAAGAACTTTCCAGTGTTTCTCAACCTTGGCAACTTGAAGATGTGTGGGCTTCAACTCCCAGAATTCCACACATCGAAGTTGCCAAGTTCACACATCTTCAAGTTGAAGTTCACACATCTTCAAGTTGTTCCAAGCCAGGGATCTTCAAACAGGACAGCTTTAAGACTTGTGGACTTCAACTCCCAGAATTCCTCCTCCAGTCATGTTAGTTCAGGAATTCTGGGAGTTGAACTCCATAAGTCTTAAAACTTGCCAATTTTGAAGACCCTTGTTCTAAGCCATTCGTACACATTTTCAGAGTATTTTAGAAGCAGTAGCAGATGCTAAAAATAGAGTGATCTGTGCTGTAATATACAACAAGAACAAGGCAAACTACTTTCACTTAGCAGATTTCTTAGCAGCTCCTTTTCATTCTAATGTTAGTTTATGAAAGGTGGATGAGTAATTAGCCCACCAAAGTGTTTTCCTTGGAGCAACCAGCTTCCCGGGGAGTTTCTAAATAGCTGCGGTGTAATTTGAGAGCCTGGATGGATCAATTGTAGCCTGCAGCATCAAAAGTCCTCTTTGCGATATAATGTCTAAAAAAGAAAGAGTTTTGAATTGGTTATTTATATCATGATGGCTGTAACTGAGATGAAAGCAAATTGCATTTGATTACAAACCTATTCTTGCAAAACCACCCAATGGCTGTTGAAATGTCAGTGATTTTCATCTCCAATAAAATGTTTTAGCTTTGATCACCGATGGGATTTCTTTTCCTTGGCCTTAGTAACAGCAAATGACAGCCTTGAAGTTCTTCAATTGCACAGCGTTACTGCATCCATTTTGAATCTCTTCTGCTGTATTGGTTTAATTGTTTGTGTCAGGTTTTCATACATTACATTTGATATGTAGGAGTCATGTGCTGTTATGTATAAAATGCAGATGAAGGTGCTGGGCTTAGACAAACGCTTGGCATGATTATAGTGAAAGAATAGGTTGGTCCTACATAAATTGGGCACGGCATAATAAAGACATAGGGGCATTTTAGTTTTGAGTGCCGTTGGTTTACTTTAGTATAGTATGCATTTACTGTTGCATAGCTCACAGTGGGAACCAAATAATTAGACCTGTACTGAAAATGGTCTCCGTCAGGGGTGTCAAACTGGTGGGCCATATGCGTCACTCGCACACCATGCCAACCCCAGCTCTCCAAATGAGAAAAATGTCATGAAACATCACTTGACAGCAATGTGACACAGCGAGTTTGACACCCGTGTTCTATGTTCTTGCTTCATCTCAAAGGATAACAAACAAATGGAAGGGCTTTGTACGCCTCAATTTAATTAATAATTTTGCCATAAATTAGTATACATGGTACTTTCTAACTTAACCGCCAGCGAATTGCTTATTATAAAATATTGCTCCTGCTTTTCTAGCAGGCCTCTAAAAAGTTAAATCTTTAATGGATGTTTAAATTAGCAGCAAAACTTAAATAGAAAGCTTAAAAGTTTAAAAATTGGAGCTTAATAGTTTTAAATGACAAGGGCAGGAAAATTACATAAACTGTCTCTGAAGTATTAGAATTCAACTCAAACATGATTTAATTTTTTCTTACACCCTGTGAGTTTGCACCTTGCGTTAAACTATTTTTATTTATTTTTTTGGCTAAGCCAGCCTTGATTGAATTTACACAACAGTGTGCTAAAACCTTACTCACAGACAACACAAACACACTGAAAGCACCATTATTTAATTTACCTGGTCACATTCTGTTGAGCTGTGGATTGCTTTCCTTATTGAATAAGTCACGGTTAGCTGGGCTCACGCCACATGCTAAGCCATAAATTTTGCCAGTCGCTTTTTCACCCAGCACATCAAGTCAAAATTAAATCACCTAATGGCTAGTTGGGGCTATTTGAAGCCAACCGCTTGCTTCTGCTTTCTGTTTTTTTGCCTTCCATCCAAATGTAGGCAAAGATTGAGCTGCTGTCTCTATGTTTGCTGGGAAAGTAGATGTCTACCCTTCTGTTCTGGCCTAGATGAACCAGGGTGACTGGATTTGTTATCTGTTTGTGAGTCCATCCATCTCTTTCTGCAGCTGCTCCACAGTTCCTTCTTCTGACTCATCCATCATCTCTTAATTGGCCTCTTACTCCTTTGGCCCATTAATCTCAATCTTGGAGCACAAGAGTTTGTCTTCATTTAACCAGAGACTTGGAGAGAGAAAGCAAGCACACACATTTTGCTTTTGCAATCGAAGCAGCTGCAGTTTATCATACATGAGCCAGTGAGCACAAAACATGGCTGAGTTGAGAAACTGATTCCATGTCTCTAATCGGGGGAAAGCCCTGGCAACTAGGGCTAGGAAGCCAGTGTGTTCCCTCTTCACAGAATGGCATTGTTTATGAGCAAGCAATTAGGTTTTCTATAAATATTCTCCCCCTCCACACACACAGCAATCTGGCAGGAGAAACTCGTAGCTCTTGGGAGGACAACCACCATGGTGAGTCTCTTTCCAGACCATTAGCACCAGCAGGCTGCAGATGGTGATGGTTGTGTTTCACTGAAGTTATATTGCAAGAGAAAATGAGTACCATTTTCCTGTTATCATCGCTGCCATGATGGGTAGAGAAGGAAGAATTGGCTCCACACGGCACAGGGATTAATGGAACAGAACAATGCTGTCAGTGAAATGGGGGGAGTTGGGGCCCCCTCCCAAAGCCATTTTAAACCCATTTAAAACAACTTTCTTAGCAATGTTTACACTTGCTTTAAAACGGTTTTCCATTTTTCTTGAATCAACCAGGGGGAGAAGTTCGAAGCTAATGTTATGGTTGGCAAACCGCCAAATCCCACCCCTGGCTGGCCCCAGCCACCCCTCCCCTCCCAGGAGTCTCAATGTGGCCCATTTTGGATGCGAGGTAAGTGCAGGGCCTGCATGGAGGCTTGGGGAGGGTGAAAAATGTGCCTCCCAGAGGCTCCAGAAGGCTGGAAATTGGCCCCTTGCCGGCCTCTGGAGCCTGGGGGAAGCCATTTTTGTCCTCCCAGAGGCTCAAGGAAAGCCTCCGGAGCCCGGGGAGAGCAAAAACAGCCCCTCCCCCCACTATGGTGCAGGAGGCTGACTAGGCCATGCCCACCATGGCCACACCCACCCAGCAACCGGGTAGAGAACTGGTTGCTGAAATTTTTGAAGCCCACCCCACAAATTATAGGTCCATTTCATCACTTCTGGTACTATAGGAAGTGATGAAATGGGCCTATAATTCGGCCAGAAAAGCATTGCAGAGGCTTTTTCCAAGCCTCTGGGAGGCCGAAAGAGGCCTCAAACCAACTGAAAAAAAAATCAGCGGTGAGGCACACACATGCGCAGTGAGGTATCTTTGCCTGCACCTCGCATGCCAGCACAAATGGCTCTGCGTGCCACTTGTTACGCATGCCATAGGTTCTCCATCATGGGCCTAAGATATAGTTAGTATTGCGCCACTACCAAATCTGTGTAGATATATCCTAGAATGGGAATAAGCATGCTCAACTGCCTGAGGCAATTGGAGAAAAACTACTTTTGGGAGGTGCAGGCAGAGGAGTCTGAATTTAAAAAAACAAACCCCCCTTAAATATCCTGCAGTAAATGGTTCTTCCATGTACCCATTATGCAAAACTTAACATGGCAATATTTGAGAAATGATCACATGGAAAATAAAGCAGAAGGAAAACACCCACAAAGTTTTAATGCACATTTTTCATTTATATACAGATTAATAGCCAGCCCTGCAAATGTGTGTGTATTGCTCAGTGCACCTTATTTGTTTTTTGTTTTTTTCCCTAATCATAAAGTAAGATAAGAATGTGGGCTCTGACTGCCATTACTATGGCAGAGAATTAAGGCACCTTGGAGCAGTTTTTTTTCT